GCTTTTGACTCATCGTCTTTGAAAGCACTAAATTACGGCTCACCTATAAGAGTTTTTTTTACAACTACCTTATAGCATGACTGCTGTGACAAAAAAACAAAGTTCTGTCTACTTCCGCATTGTTTTCCAGCATCAGTTTCCGTAATCTAAATTATCTAGAGTTTTATGCGGTTGCTGTTTGAAGATTTACGTTTCTAGCCAACGCAATTCTCAAGAAATGGATCATTCTACCACGCATTTCCATTATCATTTTATCATCGAATCTACCCTATTCCCTATTCTTGTCTTTTCAAACGAGTATTCAGATTTTCTTTTATGATTCTGCAATGCTCAAACATGTTAATAGCCCCATATGTTGACAAATTTCTCTATTGTTCCATGCTTGAAGATGTCCGTGCGAAGGAAGGGGTGGTCCCCCAACTTGTAGAAAGATTACTCAGAAATCTAACGGGCAGATGGCGATGCTTGTGGACATTTTTCAAATTAGTGAAGGCACGCTGCATTTTGTAATGACGCACTTGGTAATTATCGTCAATTTCGAGTTATCCATATTTAAAACTTCGCAAAAGCAATTTGTTCCTTGATGATTAATTGTTTACTTCCGCTGTGCTGTTCTTGCACGTGAATATCATATCTTCTAAACTCATGGCGTAAGCGCTGAATTTCTTTGTGAATCGTCTTCGATATATCTGTCGGATAATTAGCCAAATCCTGCTTAGCTTTTTGCTCCAGAAATGGCGGATGTTGTGCCGTCTGCGGCACGTGGATCCACCCTATTTCAGGACTCGGTTGCTGGGTTAGTTTTTTTTTTGCCCCGTATGACTATGTTCTAACCTTTGCTTATATTGCCTTATAGACCATGCGAATCTCTGCCTAAGGAGGTGACGGAACTTGCCGAAAAATATCAGTTTTCAATAAATCACGACCGAAGTATACAAAAAGAGGTATGCGGCTTGATTCTCTTCCAAGCCTTCAAGAAATTTGATGAGGATAACAGCTATTTTAACCATTCCAGGTGATTGAACTGAAGAAATTCATCCGCACTGCTGTCAAGAAACAGATGAAAATCAAAGCTGGATATGTGCAAATGCAGGTAAGCTCAGATAGTTTACGGAGTTTTTTTTATTGCGATTGTAATTGCAGAAAGCCACAAATGCCAAGAAGCAGGCCGATAATTTGAAAAGAGAGGTGCGAGACCTAAGTGATCAAATAAGTGACATGCAAGAAGATCTCCAGATACTAGACGTGTACGATACGGGTGCCTTTGGTAAGTTAAATTCTATAAGCTTTGAATTAGATTTTCTTTATCTTTTTCGCTCCTTTAACTATCTCCTACTTTTTCTAACACATA